TCGTAGTCTTAGTAATCCTGTAACCAAATCCCAGCGGCCAATCTTTACTGGAACACGTGTGGCTTGAGATGAATTTCACAACCAAGAAAGAACCAAGTGAAGGTTAATAATCCCTCGCAAATGAGTTCCAGTTTCTATTTATAATTTGAATGAACAGAATGGAAAGGCGATTGCCCCAAGCCAGAGTGTACAATTGGTTTTTTAAAGTTCTGCTTAAGGTAGTGCGTTGGCCTACAACACTGGCATACTGTACTTTTATGCAAATTGCATTTTCAGTATTGGAATCTTAATTGAATAGTGAATAGAAACGTGTGTGTGTGAGGAGAAGATGGTGCATGTGTGTATTTTAAGTGTATGCATATGCATACACTTAAATGCATATTGTGCTATAATGAGACACAAAGTACAGACAGCAGGTTGAGCGTGGGCTGGAAACCATGGCAACGGCCTTGAGCTCTTCGACATGTGAAGAGGGAAAGAGGAAGAGGGAGAGAGAACCAGGATGACATTAAGAACAGTTTTATTGATCACATATGAGGTTAGAGATTGGTCGACCTATGACTTTCTCTGTTTATATCTTAATAGGTATCCATTATGCTTTGGGCAATCGCACTGATGCTTCAGAAATCCTAAAAGTGGTGTTCATTTATGAAGGTTATCTTACTGAACAAAATGTGTAAGTGTAAACTTGGGTTTGCCACAGACGGCTTTCAGAAGCAGCAGTGCTCATATATTATCAGTGGCGGGTTCCAGGGCCAGTGTCCATCATAGTCAATGACATCTTGCTGTGTACCGTTATTATGAAGGTGATGTGTTGCCTTGAAAGTAGCTGAAATTTACTGAGCCGCTGACAAGGGGTGGGAATCTCTTGGCACCTCACGATTCGATTCGATTCCGATTCAGAGGTCAACGATTCGATTCTAAACCGATTATCGATGTATCTCGATTTTCTAAATTTTCTCAAATCTGAGTTTGCTACTCAGAGGTTGTTAATCACTTCCTACTTTATTTGATAATTAAAGAAAATCAACAGATGAATTACCTTCTCAAATTTTTTATAAGAGGAAAAAAAAATCTTTGTCACAAATATGATTTTCTATCAACAATGCAAGAACCAACCCAGCTTGCATTTCAACAAAATATGGAAGTAGCCTATGTAAAAAAAATATCAAACAGATTCATTTTTCTTTTAAATGAAGAAAAGGCTGCTCTTAGTCTCAGACCGCTCCGTATTTGTAAAATACCAGAAAAAAGTCCAAATCTGTGAATATCTTGCCAACTTTCAATACGGATCGACTTTTTGGAAAATGGAAATAATGAGGTAAGATATGCGCAGGCTCCTCCATAGTTCAGTAAAGTTATTAGATATTCAGATTCAGACTGACGGACCGGTCTGCGAGCTGGACGCATTGCTCTTAATGTGCCGGTAATGATGGTAAATGATGGTAATGATGGTAAATGATGGTTGTAGCTGGTTCTCATCTACGGTTCTCATCTACGGTCCACTACGATTACCGAAGGGGGACGTTTGTTTTTTTACAACGTTTTATCTCATAATTTCGACTTTTTATCCCCTTACATTAGTGCGGAAATGGGCTTCTATAGTTGTGTTAATGCATCACTCCAGCCAATCCAAAGACGGGGTTTGTAACCAATAAGGTGTAGAGACCATGGTCACTGGCTCCGCCCTCTTACTGTCAAAAAGAAAAACAGCGAGCGCGTAGAAAACACCTTCGAGCGCGAGCAGAGACTAACCTCGCGAGCGAGGAAGTTCACGCTCTGCGAGGGAGCAATTATCTGAACTTTTGCTCGCGCGAGACAGACTTTTTTTTTTTTAATTCCGATTATTAACTGTTCTGAATCAAGACCGAATCGTTCTAGAGAGAATCGAGAGAAATCGAAGAATTGATTGTTTCCCCCACCCCTATCGCTGACCATGTTTCTCCATCCATGGTAGGATTTTGTATGAAACACTGTAAAACCACATGCGCTGTTCCTGTAAAGGTCTTTTGTGGTGCAATTATACAAAAGAGCTATTTTGAGCTTTGCATCCAGCTTTGACACCCAAGATTGTTGTTTTCAGTTTGAAAGGCGGTTGCATTGAAACCCTGCTGTGGCTCACTACCCACTCTGAAAGATTTTACAACAGGCGCAGTGGAAGACTGACCTCACAGTGTTAGAATAAGTGCATGTAAGCTTTTTAAGGCCGCTATCAGAGAAAGCCGTCCTCTATGAGGGATGATTAATTTCATCCAGCTATTTGCAACACTATTTTAGCTGGCAAATTAATAATAAATACTAACTTATTGCATTTGCTTAGGCAAGTGCCAATCAAACGTATTCATCATGTGATTCTGAATAGTTACAATTTTACAACTGCAAATTATTTCTCACTAATCAAATGTTAGATATCGACAATTCATAGTTAAAAACATAATTCGCAGATATCTGTAAGTTAATTTAGTAAATGACACATTTCAACATTTACCATTGACTATTCAAACTCAATTACAGATATTTGTAACTATTTTTTGATGTGTTATCTAAAATATGAAATCAAAACAGTAAACATTGCCAATTTAAAAGACAGCCACTAGCTTTTTCATCTTCAATGATGTTGCCCACTTATCAGAAATGTTTTTTCTATTCCTATTCCAGCCTTAAATCCAACAGTTGTGTTGTAATCTGTCAACCAGTGAGAACTAAATGGCCACTAGCCTGCACTCCTGTTTGGTATGTTGGAAAGGCCTTTTTGTGTGTGCGTTGTGAAAAAGCCCAGTAATCAAACAGAGGACATATTGGCAGACGGATGCATTGGAATGGGATAAAGTGGGAGAGCTTGGAAAAGAAAGGATGCTGGAAAAACGACAGGGCTCAAGGTGAAAGCCTATGGTGTTAACGAAAGAGGGTGAAAGACAAAAGGAGAAATCCATTGACAGGGTGGAAAAGGAATGATTCAGCCATTACAGATTGTCTACTTTTGAATCTGTTTTCTCTGCCACTGTCCATCCCTTCGATTTTCTTTCTTTAGTCTCTTTTCTCCAAGCCTTTGTTTCTCTCTCTCTCTCTCTCTTACACCTGATCTTTCTCAAAATGTCGATACAACAAAGTGTTAAAGAACGACTAGGAAGAAATACCCAGGTGGATGCTCCACATGCTCCTCATTGAGCTACGGATTGATCCAGTGTGAGGACATTTAGTGCAATGACAGCACTGTGTGGCTCTGCGTGGAACAGCGAGACGAAAAACGTTGAAACGTACACATTTCAAGTGCTTCATAACCAAAAGAAAGTGTCTGTGTCAACTAAAGTAAATTGCTTATTCCATCTACAACGAGATCCACACAAGCATTGGCAACCGCTGCTCAACCCCCCTCAACCCTTCCCCACCAGAGAAATATGACACCACACACCCACACACGCAGCACACACCGTGCATACTTGCACGCATCGATTCGGATGTGGCAAGAAGAACGTCAGGAAAAAGGCGGAAAAAAACCCAGACAGAATGCAGACGGAGAGGGAAGTTTACACACAAACCTACACATACACTCACACACGGACACACACAAACATTTTGGTCTGGGGCTGGAAGGCCTGTTGTAGGAGAAAATGAGTTTTGCTCTGTATAGGCACGAGGGGAAGAGGGAGGACCTTGTCCTGCTTGAGGTCATGTTGGCAGGAGTTTTGAAAGAGGGAGAGGAGATTTGTCATTCACACCAACACCTGTCTTAACCTTCTTCTCTTTATCACTCCCTCACACACACACACACACACGCTCATTGGGCCATCTGTGCTCTCTTGAGGAGCCGTAAACCCCGACCCCTCAAAGAAAGGCAATGTGTCTGTCTGTGTGTATGGTGAGGAGGTTCTATCGGCCTTGCTGCTGTCTGGCGGGGCACGGCTGCTGAGCTGCTGCCAAAATATTCAGTTTGACCTAGTTCATCTCAGCACCCGGCTGGTGTGTGTGCGTGTGTGTGAGTAATATTTAGGCCTATTTGTCAGCAATATGATGAGTTTCTGACACTGCCCATAATGATGTAAGAGCTCCCTCCCACATGTCCTCTCTGCTAATCATTCTGTTTGTACCTCCTTTTCCTTTTTTTCTGTTGTTTTCCTCCCTGATTTGCTATTTCCTGCTTGTCGTCTCTCGCTTGTCCTACGAGTGTCTGTCAAAGGAAGCAGATCGTACCAAGTCAATGTCTTCATCTGTGCCTGTGTGAGTAAAATGGCGGGCTTCACCTCTCAACCCAAAAATGTAATCTCACCCAATGGACATGAAACATGAAATCCATCCGCCGCTCTTTTCTCGTGAAGACGTCAAACACAGCTTGTGATATCGTGATATCGGCGAACACCGCTGTCATCATTTTGACTAGGTGGGGGGATTACGCTTACAACGTAGCTGGTGCAGTGACGTCAGCTGCGCAAATGTCCAGTAATATCTCGATTTTAATTGGTCCATGTTTGATACGTAACGTAGATGATTACTTGCATAACCTATTCGCATATTTACATAGACACAGCAGAGTTGTGCTTTTTGCCCTACATGTTGAAGAATACAGGATCGAAGTGCAACATGGGTGTTTTGCTTGTCGTCCGCAAGGAACGGACAGTAAAAGCACTGCTTATTCTACCATTTCTTCGTATTTGATTATACGCAACAGCTACATTTGTCATTGTAACCTCTAGACAATTGTAATAACACACATATTGCATATATAATTCTAAGAATAAACAGTAAAAATATATATACAAGTTCATTAAATAAAATGATTTAATAAACATTTTTATGTTTTAATTCTGACTGCACTACATTGACTTACATTAATTTCCTGGAGACTTAGCTACCAGCCTCATCCTAAACCTAACCCCCATACCCTAACCATTGAGCCGAGTCTTCACCTTAAAATTCAACGATTTAGGTTGTGGGGACTTTGTTCCAAAACTGATGGTTTGCTCCACCTTTCTTTATGCGTCCCTGTTTTTCTGTGTGTGCAGTGACGGCTGGGCGGACCGGTACGATGTAACAGATGGCTACGTTAGAGAAGCGGCGGGTGGTATCACCATCAAGCTCCAGTCGGCTGATGTGAAGTGGTTTGACGAGTACTACCTGAAACTTCGTCCTGAAAACAACCAGAGGAACCCCTGGTTTCCAGAGTTCTGGCAGCATCGCTTCCATTGTCGACTCAAAGGTCACCCGCAAGAGAGCTTCAAATACAACCGCACCTGTAGTAGTGAGTACTCTCACAAATCCGCACACACCAATGGGATGTTCCTCTTGAGCACCTGTAGTCATGAGTACGGACGAAGACAACGCAGCTGTACTGCACCGAGACCATCTGTGGGCTGCATTGTTTTGGTTCAACACAACAAGCTACAGTAACAATCTGCATTTTAGTTGGCTGACTGTCATAATGGCCAATATTAATGCAAATAATATACAAACAGTGTGTCTGAACACACACACTGACCACGGTTCATGTGGAGATATCCCTTGTCTCTGTGAGTGCACCCTCCCTTTATTTCTTTGTGTTCGTCACCCCTCCCCGTACCGCCCGTCTTTCCCTCTCTGTTTCAATCCCTCCATTCATAGGCAAAGCTGTGTGTGGGTTCTGCATCAAAGGGAGTCATGTCTCATGTATTCTAATGAAATGGGTCGTGAAATACAAATGAGCGGGATGCAGAGAGAAATGAGATGTAGAGGTGGCAAGTGGTCGGCGAGAAGAAATGGGGGGGGAGCGAGGTCTTTGATGTCACGGGGAAGAAGCGCCCTGTTTTTTTATAAAACGAGTGGAAATTACTCTGATATACGCGCCTTTCTCTTTCCGCTCCCCCTTCCCCTTCCCGACACCAACCAACCACTTCTGCAGAGCGAGAGTCGCTTCGGCAGCAGTACGCACAGGACACGAAGATGGGCTTTGTCATTAATGCCATCTACTCGATGGCATATGGCTTGCATAACATGCAACGGGCGCTGTGCCCAGGCTATCAGGTAGGTAGCGCTCTTATGGATGGATGGAGAGACATGCTAGCACAACGCACTGGCACAAATGGGTGGAAAGGGGCAATAATGGGACGAAAAGACCTTAGCTTCTGGCGATGCCATATTACACTTTTGGGACTTTTGCACTACATACACCTAACCAGGAAAGTGCAAGATGTAAACATGGTATATACATATATATGGATAGTCAGGGATAGAAAGGAGTTCCTGTTGTACTGTACGGCTCATTTTTCATAAAACCTGGAGCATCCCTGCTGCTGTTTTGATTGCATTAATTTTTTTTTATTTTAGTCCAACTCATTCTGATAATCATGACTTGAATGAGTTGAAACTCATCATCATCAGTTCTTCAGTTCTTAGAATTTGAGCAGAGGGCTCTGAACTATCATTTCTAAAGTAACTTACGTGAAACGTTGTTTGTTATGCTGTTGGTCAGGACATTTCTGTTAGATATGAAAGGATTGTTCATGTATTTTAAGGGCCTGTGTGATGCCATGCGACCCATAGATGGTGCTACACTGCTGGACTTCTTGATGAAAACAAACTTCACAGGCGTTTCCGGAGAGGGAATCTTATTCGACGCTAACGGAGACTCACCTGGCAGGTGAGCACTGTGACTTTCTATTGGGTCAAATGGTCGTATGAGAGAAGTAGGTGGCTGTTAAGGTCGTGGATGTACACTGTGTACCTTTTATCCACAGGTACGAAATAATGAACTTTAAAAAGATGGGGAAGGACTATTACGACTACATAAACGTTGGCAGCTGGGACAACAGAGGCTTGAAGATAGACGATGACGAAATCTGGCCTAACAGAGACGGCATAATCAAGTCAGTCTGCAGCGAACCCTGTGATAAAGGACAGATTAAGGTAAGATGATGCATACAGATGCATATCTGCTCACACAGGAAGGCTTATTTAGCCAACATTTCCACTTGTGGGATAGACCGTAAGTTTAATGATGTGAGTGTATGAGGCATTGTAATTCTCATTGTTAATGAAATAAAATGCTCCAGGTGTGCTGTGTTCTGTGCTACAGAAAGACCCACCTCTTGCATTCCGTCCCATCCAGGTGATCCGTAAAGGCGAGGTAAGCTGCTGCTGGACGTGCACTCCCTGCAAAGAAAATGAGTTTGTGTTCGACGAATACACCTGCCGAGCCTGTGAACTGGGCTCCTGGCCTACTTTTGACCTCACAGGTCTGTGAATGTTTGAATATATGTGTTGGCATGTTTATGGGTAACAAGTACATGTTTAGAGAAATTGTGAAAATATTTGAATGTACCTTGTACCTCTACCTTGATGAGAATCCTGGAATATTGATGCAAGTGATACTATTTGAAGCAATGAACAAAATGCTTGTGCATTTTTGTGTGTGGGGTCACAGGATAATGGATGTTTGGTAGAATGAGATAGTGTTTGCCCTGAGAAGGCGTAACATTACAGCATGATATTATACATTAAGTCCTGCACCAGTTACAGATTAACTGAGACAATCTTTACCCTCGCCTCCTCTTTCCCTTCCCTCCCCTCCCATTCCCTCCCTCTCTCCCGTCCCTTTAATTTGTTACCAACATGGTCACCGATGTCCTAATTATTCTGCATGAACCTTTCAATGCAAATGCACTTCATTTTCAATGAAAATGTATTTCCCCTCCATTGCGTCCGAAGCGGTGGAGTATTACCTTGTTATGCTTTCAGCTGCTCATTATGCCGCTTTCTAGCTCCTCACCAAGCTGAATGATTAAAACATGAATTGAGCCCTGCTGAAAATTCAGATTGGGCTTCACTGACAGAGCGGCAGAGAGAAGCATCCTTAAACTGAAACCGCCAGCGGACGGGTTGGAAAAAAAAGACAAAGATGAAGTTGCAAGTGAAAGAAAGAGAGAGACAAAAAAATTGAAAGAATGACTGCGGTTGCCGCTGTATTACTTTGTGTTGGCTTTCCTGTGCGTGTCCACGTGTGCGACTCATCTAATCAACAATAAATGCTGCGTGCTCCCTCGTGGGGTTATATGGAACAGTAATAATGAGGTGTAAACAAACTGCTCGCCCTGTTCCTCCGGCAGACATTTTGATCTCTCTCCCTCAGGGCAATAGAGAGAGGGAGAAAGATAAACAAAGCGAGAGATAAAGACCGAGAAGGAATAGAGGAGATAGAAAAGGGTCTCATCTGGCAGGGACAGAGGTACAGTGGGTGTGAAAACCATAGAAAGCTGCAGTAAGAAAGTTTTGAGCAGAGGCTAGAAAGAGAGAAACGTCATTAGAGTCATAAAGAGAAGGAATGAGTGAGTCAGAAAGAGAGAGAGATGCAGATTGAATTGAATGAATGGCAGCGGTCAGTAAGAGTGAGAGGAGCAGAAAAGGGGAGGATTAGCTTTGGGATTTGAGCCTCTCCGCTGAAGGGTAAAGTTCCACCGTTTGAGTCTAAGTGTTTGAAGGAGTTTGCCTCTAAACTTTATATTGACTGAACCCTCCAAACGGTTCCTCTCCCTTAAATGCACAAGTTTGCCGTTGGGTCGAACACAGCTGGCTTTCCTGCAGGTTCCATGAACTGATTACGTATTAAAAATCAGACGTATCCAATGTTTTTCAACTGCTATAGGAAAACTCATTAGGACACAGGTCATCTAGATGTATGTGGACAGGATTAATTAAAGTTAATTTCTTAGCAAGGGTCTTAGTTTCCTCCCTGCCTGTTTTTTAAGGGTGGGTGGTCTTTACCCCCTCTTTGTTAGGGAGGGGGCAGTACCTCCAGCCCTTGTCTCTTAAGGAGGGGCTGTGCTTAAGTAGTAAAAAAAACACTCCCTCTAGGATATTTAATTGACATGCAAATTTTAATGTGAGAAAAGCTTAACTGATTTTGTTGCAAACTTCCAATGTATCGATACCTGGTTGATGTTCTGTCTTTTTTTTTTTACACTTACTGCATGATGTTCAAAACTTTTTAAAAGATGATTTAGGTAGACTTTATCAAGCTTTAACTACAAATGCACTTCAATTTGGCTTTCCTAGTTTGGGCTGCGTGTATTCTGGTCATTTAGACGAGCAAAGCAGCACAACTGACGCATCCCAACTTCTTAACATCTACATCAAGGATCCGGAATGCAGTATTGCAGGTTTATTTGTGATCTGAGCGTGTTGTGTCCAATTTGTATCCAGTTTTACTGAAATTACTTTGAAGTTATATGAGCCTGCTGGTTAGCTAGATCGTCTGCAGAGTGCTCGTCTGCATTGTTTCTGTCCCTGTGGCTCCTCAGCCATTAGGCTGCTGTTTATGCCCCTAGACCGAACAATTTCAGCGATTTCATCAACTTTATTGACCGTGGTAAAGACTTAGTCACTAGACCACTTAGGACTTTTTAAATGACTTTTCCTCTCTGCCATTGGCAGTACTGTACAAACAAAAACTGATGTCTAGCTGTGACAGAGGGAGAGAAATGGAGCAGAGAGAAAGTAAAAATAAAAGTGAACATGTGTATAGGGACAGAAAGTTTTAGAAAGAGTCGTCCCTGATGTTACAATATGTCGAGACCAAGCAGCGTCAAGTGTCAAGATGGTTCATAATTAGAACTGTCCCTTTAATTAACAAACCTTCATGCCCCTGCCTCGAAAGAAGACTGATGGAATGAGAGAGAGAATGTGGGAGAAATGAGGAGGAGTATTGAATGATGGGGGTAGTGGAGAGACACGTGAGTAATAGACACAAATGGAGGTAGAAGAAAGACAAGAGAATTAAGCCTTGAAAGGTCAAAAGCCATGCAGGCTGCCGTAAGCAACGGCACTGAAGAAAGACAAAAAGTGAAATCCATCCATTATGTTAATGGACGGATTACGGAGTGACGATTACAAAATGCTCACTCAGTTTAGTCAAATCTACACACACACACACACATATAGTCACTAATTACTAGTGAGTTTAGCAAGACACTGGCTCTTACTGCTGCTCAATCAGTTAATTGTTGAGACGTTCCAACCTGGACACTAGTGCGTGAGCGCGCCTTGCTCCCTGACCCGTTCAGGCTGTTGGTGTCCGTAACAAGCGGTGCTCAGTGATGCTCAACCCGCTTCAAATGCGGGTCAAAGGTTATGGGAGTCATGTAAGGAAAAGGAAAGACAGAGCCGGTAAAGGATGGACAGGCAGTCTCACTCTACGGTGTCTGGTCACCGGGCTTCACACACATGAAATGTGTCTTTGATTTTATTTCGTCTCATAAAATACTTCTATCCTCAGGCTGTGACCCGATCCCAGTGGAATACCTGCGGTGGGGAGACCCTGAACCCATTGCTGCTGTGGTCTTTGCCTGCCTCGGTCTGATGTTCACATTCTTCGTCACTGCAGTCTTCATCAGGTAATGAATCTCTCCTTTTTCTTCAACTTGAAAAAATGGCAAGTCGGGGTGCACACCACACATACTTCATTTTGCAATCGATTCAATTTTTATTTCATTGCTTACTCAGTGTGTGTCTCCTCAGTGTGTTTAAACTTCTCCAAAAGTCCTTCATTTCACTACGTTGGCAGGTCTTCCCTTACAAGTTTCGTGCTTGTTGTGCTTGATTGTCTTCAGGTTCCGCGATACCCCCGTTGTGAAATCTTCCAGCAGAGAGCTCTGTTACATAATACTGGCGGGGATCTGCCTGGGGTACCTGTGTACCTTCAGCCTCATAACCAAACCCCACGTCGTCCACTGCTACCTCCAACGACTGGGAATCGGCCTGTCGCCCGCCATGAGCTACTCTGCGCTTGTCACCAAGGTAAGGATTGTATTAGGAAAGGGTGCATAGTTCTGGCCAAAGCCTTGGCATGCCCCTGTCATCAGATCTATGGTGACCTGCTACTGTTGTAGATGTGTGTGTGTGTGTGTGTGTGTGTAGGCAATAGTCCCATCAGTGCGTGGCAACATAACTTCGGGTCTAATCAGGTGGAAACAGTATCAGAATACAGATACAGTAATACTCCTGTTGGCCTGACAGTGTTTTGCCATGTGACCATCAGACAAACCGCATCGCCCGGATCCTGGCAGGCAGCAAGAAGAAGATCTGTACGAAGAAACCTCGCTTCATGTCTGCCTGCGCTCAGCTTGTCATTGCCTTCCTCCTCATACTGCTGCAGCTGGGCATCATCGTGGCACTCTTCCTCATGGAGGCGCCTGCGGTAAGCTGTGTGTGTGTTTGCGTTGCATTGCGAGTGGGAGAGTGGCCTGTGACTGAAGAACAAGTTAACATAGATAACCTGCTGTGCGTGAGTTAAAAAGTGTATTATACCTCGTTCCATTGTGGACTGATGCTCTCCTTTACTCTTTTGCATACTTCTTGATTCTGTTAGAATTTGGACTGTTGTCTTTATTCTAATTTTGTGAACATTATGCACTTAAATATTTGGTGCCTGTAGCGATCGTTTTTTTGGGGCTTTTCATCATTGGCTGCTTCACCTTCTGTCTCGACAGGTGATTCATGACTACCCCAGCATCCGCCAGGTCAACCTCATTTGCAACACCACTAACCTGGGTGTGGTTGCTCCATTGGGATACAATGGCCTGCTCATTCTCAGCTGCACCTTCTATGCCTTTAAGGTACAAGCTGAAATGTTTGTCACTATTGTACATTACTCACCTTAAAATCTAAATGCATTTTTTTTTTTCTTTGATACAGAATTATTTCATGGATTCACGTAGTCGTTGTGGGAAAATATGCACTATATACATAAGTGCAATGCATCCATGCATGTCTTACTTCAAGCAGCAGTGCGTAATGTAAACAGGATTGTTTGTGTTTGGTGATTTACCACTTTGAGCAGCAGTAAATCAAATTCTATTGAGCCAAACACATTATAAAGTCAGTGTTTGATTATCGGTGGCCTGCAGCCATCCATTTTCTGAAGCGAGTGAGAGTAGAATTCTAAATGGGGACCAAAGCGGTGCTGATAAACACAGCAGCACAGAAAAACAATACAATTCACCTGCCCGTAATGGTGAGGTCGGCATTATATTTGTGACTGTAATGGAAAAGATATTAAAACGATAAAGAGAGGAATATTTTCTAATCATTTCTCTCTCTTTCTCTCTCTCTCTCTCTATCTCCTTTAAAGACTCGCAATGTCCCAGCTAATTTCAACGAGGCTAAGTACATTGCTTTTACCATGTACACCACCTGTATCATCTGGCTGGCGTTTGTACCCATCTACTTTGGCTCCAACTACAAAATTATCACCATGTGCTTCAGTGTAAGCCTCAGCGCCACGGTGGCGCTGTGCTGCATGTTCGTACCCAAGGTAAGGATGAAGCCAAAACCGCAATCTTTCATTAATCATTCAAGCGTTTGATATTTATATATATTTTACTGCTGTTTTCTTATGTAAGAACACCCTGTTACACAGGATTTCGTTTTGGTGCAGTTCAGTGGCTCTCCTTCACCCGTTCCTCATGGCAACTTTGTTAGAAAAATCTTACTCGACACAAGTGTAAAATCATTAAACTGGACACTTATTAAATAATACTGGGAAGTAGGAGATGTATTACACGCAGGTTATGCATCAAGGCTTCCCAACGGTCTTCTTCTCTGGTGCTGGATTATATAGCTGGAGGTAAACGTGCTAAAAAGGGGTCGGGGGTGTAGGTCATCATGTGCTACACCTCAGGACATACATCTTATCCCATGAGTCACCACGAGATGATCTGGACGTTGACGCACAAACATCTTGGCTGTCAGCTGACCTGACGCACACTCGTGTCGATGCAACAGGGAGGACAGACTTTCTGTTGTCTCACAGCACTACTGACGATGACACCACATTATTGCTGTTTTTCCCACAAACTTTCAAGTCAGTTTGAATCATTTTGAAAACAGCAGTGTGGTCCGTGTATATGAATGTTTGTGTCTTTTAGAAAAACTGTATACATTCAACTTTTTGCACTTATTTGTGTACTTTTTAGTTTCTGTGTGAATACATTTGATGATTTTTGTGATCAACACTGACAGTGACCCTTTAATCAGACTGGTAATGTCAGGTCAGGATACCTAGAGGACACCATGTTATTGAAAATGATGATGATGACATTTTTACCAACTGTCCTCATTGAAGTGAACAGGCCACTTTATAATACAGTGGAATATAGAACAGGATAGAATAGACTGGAGCGTTAAGGAGAGTGTTGGTACTTAAACGGCAGAATTGTAGTGGTTGTTGCATTTTGCTGTTGTCGCAATATTATCCAACACATATGGTGTCTCATTTCGTAACAGGTGTACATCATTCTCGCCAAACCAGAGCGTAATGTGCGCAGTGCCTTCACCACGAGCACAGTGGTGCGCATGCACGTGGGCGACGGCAAATCGTCCTCCGCCGCCAGCCGCTCCTCCAGTCTGGTTAACCTGTGGAAGCGCAGAGGCTCTACCGGAGAGACACTCAGGTACGTGGCTCCGTGTGTGTGTGTGTCTCTTTGTGTAAACTAAGAGGCTCATTGGCCAGGTTACTTTTCAGTTACAGTCCATGGCGCCATTTCTGTAATGGCCCCACCCTGAGACTGTTTATGGCGTCTGTGTGTTGGAGCTCTCCGAGAGATTGATTCTCTGAGCTCCCCTGGGTCTGCTTGACTTTTCTTCTGACCCTAACATGAACTGCAGACAATTGCTTAATGGAGACATGCAAAAGAAGAAGAGGAGTGAACTGATGGGGGGGGGGGGGCGCGCTAAGGAAAACAGTAAGAAGGGGAAATCTGAAAACAGTAAGAGGATGGAGGGAATGGACACAGAGATGAAAAGCAGAGGTGCTTGTAAAAGACAGATGAAAAGGTCAAAAGAACAGTGCAGCAAGGAGAGACTATATAGCTTTCACAGCCAGCTTCGGGCCATCCAAGAGCCATCTACCGTGACAGGGAACCGATCAGAGGACACAAAAGGAGTGACGCACGGCCACTCGCCCCCAAATGAAAAGGGAGGAAAAGGACAAGAACACATTTTCGTTTGTCAGCACGTTACTCCAGCTCAGCCCGCTTGGCAAGCAAGATTTCAATCACGCTCTTAAGAGAAATGTCAGGAGTGCTTCCATCTTGGTTCCTTTTATATCCCCCTCGTTCCCTCTCCATCTCTTTTGGTCCTGTCTTCCCCTGTGGGTGTTGGTAATTGGCAGGGCCGTCTATCTCCTCGGTGCAGGGCTGGGAGCTGTTGCCTTTGAGAAGCTGTCATTGTTTAGTCTGAACAGACGCAGACAGACATGAAACCAGAAGGGGGAAAGGAGAAAAGTAAAAAAAAAAAGAATAGTGAAAAGTATTTGACGTTTGATGTTTGAACCCGATGTTTGAGCGAAGGAAGGAAGAATTTACTTTTTACCTTCACCAGACTTTAAAATCAGCTTCAAAACTGGATGTGAGGTACGTATGATAGGATCAGTTAAGCACTCCTTAAGTAGGTGCAACATGTGTTCACGCTTCAAAGCCTTCGATCAGAGACTTTATTTATGGGATCAAATGAGGAGATTACAGCACTGTGTAGCTGAAGGTTGTGTGCAGCATATGTATATGTATGTTTGTGTGTGTGTGTGTGTGTGTGTGTGTGTGTGTGTGTGTGTGTGTGTGTGTGTGTGTGTGTGTGTCCCCCCGGGTTGATTTGAGTTCTTTTTCCCCCCGGCCCCCGGGTGCGTGTGGGCTTAATCAGGAGTTTCACTGTAGATTAATCACACTCATTAACCTGACAAAAGAATGAGAGGAAGAAAAGGGGGGGGGGGGGGGACCAGCGCTGTGACTGATGTGAAGCAGAGGAAAGTGAAGAAAACTGGACGAAAGAGAGAGAAACAGAGAGAGGATGAGAGGACCTGACAAAGACAAATGAAGAACACACTGTCTGGAACAACTAAAATGAGAAATGAACTATAATGAAATTACAATAAAGTCCTTATGAAGTGCAACTGTTCTGTGGTTGAGTCACGGCACCCTTTTAAATATGTTGGTATTTATTATCTGTCATTGCTCATGCAGGATGATAAATAGAGAACACAATAGAGCAGCAATAGCTAATGCAGTGCTTTTAACATGATTTATTTTAATATATTGAAATTTTGTTTTTCTCTATCCACATTTACCACAACAGTGTTTTGACTCTAATTGATTAAAAGGTGCTCTTAGATTTTCTATTAAGGTAAACCTGAAAAACTCCATTACTGATGTAAGAAATGTCAGACCTACGTTTAGGAATTCATACAAAAATGAGTCCTCTGACTTAAATAGCACTATTTTATATAAAATGTATAAATACTGTTAAATACGCCTACCCACATTCAGCTGACAAAATAAGTTGTCAGAAATGTTTAAAACATAATTATTGTTGCCAGTTGTTCCAAAAAAAAAACTAAACGAAAATCAAGTGCTAATTAACTGAAGTTGTTGAATCCACCTCCATGCTTTATAAACTAAACCCCCTCTTTTCTCCTCCCACCTCCTCCCTGCTCTCCAGCTCCAACGGTAAATCGGTGTCGTGGGCGCAGACTGAGCGCAGCGGCTCGCGTGGTAACCACCTGTGGCAGCGGCTGTCCTTCCACATCAAGAAGAAGGAGAACAATCAGACGGCGGTGATCAAGCCCTTCTCCAAAACTTTGGAGGAGCGTTACTGTGGAGGGGGCAACCTGCCGCCACATCTGCCTCTGCCCTCCCTGCCCTCCATGTCCTCGCTGTCCCTCCACCCCGACGCTGGCCCGGACAAGACCCTGTACGATCTCTCCGAGGCGGAGGAGCGCTACTCCATCACGTACCAGCCGCAGACGCCCTCGCCAATCAGCACGGTCAGCCAGCGGCTGGGGGCGGGTCTCGGGGGGGAGGAGTCCCCGACGCACGGCATCCCGAACTACCCGGGCAGCGTCTGCAGCGGCGGCAGTGGCAGCGGCAGCGGCATCAGCTGCGGCCCCGCCAGCAGCTGCGGCCCCGCCAGCAGCGGCTCCCTCGTCGTGGGGAGTGACGGCCGCCTGGTCGCCGCGGACGACCGCCCGGGACCGGCGCCGAGTTCGCTGATGGACCAGATCAGCTGCGTGGTGAACCGCTTCACCGCCAACATCAGCGAGCTCAACAGCATGATGCTGTCGTCCTCTCCGACTCACAAGCACACGCCTCCCTCTCCGCACCCCGCCGACCCGTACCTGTTGCCCCGCGAAATCCCGATGGCCCCGACCCTGACGACCTACGCCGACGTCCAGCCCCTCCCACCCGTCGAGTCCGGCATTGGGGGCCGGAGCGGCTGTCTCGTCCACCCCGTCCCTCATTCGCCTTACCCCCTGCCGCCTCCTCACGGCCACGCCTCCCCGTCCTTCTCCCCCATGCGGGGCGGGCTGATGGCCTGCCTCGACAACTCCCCTCTGAGGAGGGGAGAGCTGGAGGAGGAGCTCTTTGCTTTGACTCCGCCGTCGCCTTTCCGCGACTCCCTGGCATCAAGCAGCGGCTCACCTATCTCGGAGACAGATCTGTGTCTCCCCCCGGTCCCCTCCCATCCTCCTCCCTCTCCCCCGTCGCCGAGGTACAGCAGACTGACACTCGGAAACTACAGCCAGAGTTCATCCTCACTGTGAGGCGGAGATGACGCGCAGAGAAGATGCGGATGTGGAGGCGAGCGCTCAGAATCAAGGCGATCAATATGAGGGAAGAGTTTGGGACGATGGGACGGCCAAATCCATTCGTCCCGACGCGGAGTAAAAAGCTGGAGAAAAGGAGTCGTTGAGGGCTGGTCGGTGAAGACATCGAGCTGTGACAGTCTGCTGTGTTTGTGTTTACATGTTTGCAGTGAGATACAAGTGTAAGAAACTTGCCCACGTTGTATTATCCTCGTGCAGTTTGGGGCGTGAAGAACTGCCAAAGGGGCCACTAAGACGTTGCGATGTTTTGGTGTCTGTAAAGTCGCAAGTCATTCTTAAAGGTCTAGAGCTACGTATAATTTAGGTATGGGTAGTGGCCTTAAGGTAACATGGCTATCAACTAATTAGAGATTGTGTGTGTGTGTGTGTGTGTGTGTGTGTGTGTGTGTGTGTGTGTGTGTGTGTGTGTGTGTGTGTGTGTGTGTGTGTGTACGTGTGGTGAGTGCATGTGTGTCTGAGTAGGTTTTTGCTTAGTTTTAGTTAATGAGATGTCTTGTAACATGACATTGAAGAGTATTCAAGAGGCTTTCAAGGGCACACATATACATATATATATGCTGATAAACACACACACAAACAGAAGCATAGGAGTGACAGGTGCACACACAGACAAATATAATGTAAGGGAAACACTGTAAATATAAGAGATTATGGATTTTTCTTTGGTGAAAGATTCCGACATTCTTCTGACTAAGTGCATTGTGTTAACATACCAGACTGTATTTTACTCTGAAGAACTTTCTGACAAAGACATCCGTCTGAATTTATTCAGCTCTACAATCTTTTCCCTCTACGTCGCTTTCTTTTTTCTGTCAGTCCACTTTCTGTCGTTACTTTATTTTATCCTGCGAGTATTTCAGTGTTTTCTACTCTTCCATTTAGTTTTCTTCAGATGTTTGAATGTATATTTTCTACACGATTCCTGATGGAGTGGGGACCAAAACCTTTTGTACCTCTCTGTCCGTGACTCGAGAAGGAGGGAGACTGGGGACTAACAAGACCCGACCATGTTTTTCCATAAACATCTTAGTCATTCAATCTGGTTCAGATGGATTATTGGCGCAAATCCAACCTTAAAGCGTATTGTTAGTGTGCAATATCTGACAACGCCCAATGTAAGGCTCAGCTGGACCCCAATCATGCCACCTTCTCTCTGCAATGTGTTTCTGCCATCAAAGACCCATTGCTTTGAATGGGACTAATCCGCATTACAATCATCCCTCATGTCAGTGGACCCTGTTGCACATTTAAAAAGACCCTTTTCAACGTCTCCACTCTTTTCAGACACAGATGGCCAGAGCAAAAAGAGAAGTTCCTTCTGAACCCACGGACCATGAGAGTGTTATTGATCGTCTCAGTCTCCGCAATCAGTAGATGGAACGGGATGTCATTCCACATCACTTTGTCAAAACGATATTTAACAATTGTAGTAGAAAAACAAAACATAACTTGCAAAAGAATTCTAATTTGACTATTTAAGATGCCTTTTAAATTGAATACATTGTAATCGCATGTGCCAAAAAAATCAAAGGGAAATGCCTTCGCTGAGATGCTTTTAAGAAACGGGGGCCCGGTCCCTCTGCCCCTCAGCTTAGAAAACAACAAACAAGAGTCGAAAGCTGGCGACACACAACACAAACACTTTTTGACGTTTTGTACAAGGAATGTTGTCTGCAGCATAGACGTGGCTTAGTTTTCATTTGAGATAATCGGACCGTTGGTATTGCAACAAAAATCAGCTCCATTAAGTTTCGTGTGTTTTAGTCCGTCGTGGTCTCCACGTCCTCTGCCGACTGATGCAGACGCAAATCCACGGTCCGATTTCTCCTCGTGAGTATCTCTGCTCCACAGTAGCCAGCAAGAACAAACACAGACAAAGGGATTCTGTAAATAACAAGGGCATGCAAAGACAGTTCTGTTGTGTTTCAGATGAAAGTCGATTTATTTACATATCAAAGGTGAAAAAAAAAGAAAAATAGAGATGTTTTTGAACTATGTTATAACATTATACACTACCAATATGTGTTACGACTACAGAAACTGTGTTACTACTCTGAATGTGGGAGTGACCATTCCTATTCAAATGTCTTGTAATTCTACAATATAATGATAATTAGTATTAATATGATTACTGTGCCAAAGGGGAGGGGGGGTGTCTAGCTTATATCTTGTGGGTAAATACGTGGTTTCATGAAAAAGTTAAAAAAAATGTAAATCTGTTTCTATTGTTTTGGATATTTTCTATATAAATATTCCATATTTTCCAGTGTTAAAGCAATATTACCCATACGTACACACGGTGCACATCTGAAACAATGTTTTAGATTGTATTTTCTTTCTCAGCCTGCTGTAATTTCTGGTGGACGATTCATCAAGGAAAATTGCAGGAGGATAAGTTGACATTTTTCTTTATGTAAAGAGGGACACATTTAATCCTTTCCAGTAACAAAGAAGGTGCAATTCCATATTTCTGCGCTGTTATTTTCTCATTTTGGGCTTGTAGTTCCACTTCTCCCCCCCCCCCCCCCCCCCTTTTCTGGAAAATATTCCCCGGCTTAACTTTCAATCAGAGTCCAATCTACTTCTGATATAACTGCTTTGTGAGATCGTTGAAGAGCTGTTTGTGCAATTTATTATCTGATACTTTTGGTTTTGGCGTTTATTAAGATGTGCGCCCTGCCGATTAAGACACTAACCTGGTGAAAAAGCTTGCGGCGAGAGCCGTCCGTCATTGTTGTTGACCCGTCTGTGCATCATTACCTCTACTTCTACTCATCTTGATTTAACAACGGAGGCGCTGACCTGTCTTCAGAAAACGAAAGCTGTGTTATTGCTGAGATGTTGTCGGGGAGCAGTTCTTGTGTTACAAACGCTCGCGTCAGCACTTGAGCGGCGCTTTCTCAGCCCCCCGGGTGAGGCTCCGCGGTCGTGTGCTACTACCTCTGCAGAAAAAGACATCCTGTTGTCTTTAAGGCCTCATTTCTGTGACATCATCGGCTCCTTTTATAGTCACGCTGTCGTTAAAGCGGATGTAAATCTTGGTCGCACGTAAAAAAATACAGCAGGTATTTGTATTTGCACGATCCACACAAACTCAGAAATATTTATCTGTCGTGTAGCATTTCAGCAAAGTACAATTTCATCTCCTCTATCATTTGAATCCAATCTCTTTTAGCTGTCTGGGGATTTTTACACCTGAACATTTAATAACGCTGCTCCACATTTGACCCCGTATTTTTCCGAGCAGATCTCAGCAAAATTACTATTTTTTTTCCTAATATATTTTTGCCAAAACATCATGACGATGTGGATGAGTAAATTCTTGTGCTCGCCAGGAAGATGATCTCTTGATGATTTCTACCCAAAATGCTTTTATTTTCATAAATGCACTCTAAAGAATTGGATTGTTAATCCCTGCCCTCAAAAATACTTTTAATCCAGACATGCTCATCATGCTGGAAAAAGACACAAGGTCATTTATTTTATACTTTGTGAATAAAAATATAAAAACCAGTGCTGGTTTGGAGCCCGATATACAAAATCACGTTTCGCTCCCCTGCTAAGCCTCCTTTTCAGCAGCACTTGGCTTCGAGGTGCGTTCTAATTCATTTTGGGATGGCAGGAATCTGAAATCCGCGGGCACTGATGAGACAGACCAATGTGGCGGAGCTGTGTGCAAGCAGCCTCTCTTACTGCCCTGCCCAGCAATTTGTCTGATATGGTCCATGTTTACTGTGTAAACACCACAAAAACATATGGTTGGACAGGTTTACAGGGCCGGCTGGAAGGAGTTTGTTTTTTCAGTCAGTCGCTGTCAAGAGGCTCCCGCATCATTGTTCTAAATAAGGCCCTGTGATGAACGCCTTCACAAATGGTTTCTTCCCCTTTGAGCAGCGTTAATGAAATGAGTAAATCACAACAGTGTTGGCCCGATGCACAGTGGGGGGGCTCGGTATATAAATGCTTGTATACTCTGAGGCTGAGATGAGCCAGCCCAGCAGAAACTTTGTGCGCACAGATGAAGAGAAATCGATGAGCAGTATGGGTAGAATCCCAACCATACGCATCCCTACGGGTAAATGATTCATGAAAAAAAAGAGATGAAAAATATTTTTTGATGGGCAACACTGCCGCTGGTTTGATGAAGGTCCTCCGGGCTCACAGCTACACGTCTTTAGAAATCATCAACGGTGTTTTTGTAAGTTGGTCCAAACGTTGCTGATTTGAGTGTTGCTTTTTATAACTGACTGAAGAGTGTTTTAATACGCGGTTGTTTCCTTTGCCAATAGAAGTGTAGATCATAGATGGGGGAAGGAGAAGAAGCAGATAAGAAATTAGGTTCGTATTAGGTCAGTATTTTATTGATTAGAAGAAGTAAAAGAGGAGTTTGTGTATTTATTTGGCTTCTGTATCAAGTGGAATAACTTGTTTGATTTAATTGTGAAATACATTCAGTGAAACTAGTGTTTCTTTTGAAGAGAGAATTAAACTGACCTGAGCTGTGATTATCACACCATGTATCACAGAGGTATCCTTGCAGGGCATTATGGGTAAGCAAAGAAACGCCGATGTGCAAGACTTCTTTGAACAGTCAAGGAACATTGTTTTCTGCTTTTTTATATTTTTTATGGATCATCTTGCGTTAGAAACATAAAATCCCCCAATTATGCCCTCTTGCTTTAAATGCTGATGAGATTACAATTGTCAGAGATATCAATAAGGAGATGAATGTTATATAATAGTAATATTTACATGCTACTACTCACTTGTGTGTTTCTGGAGCAGACCTCGAAAAAACAATGAATTATAACGCTGCGTTGTACTTCAATCTTATTACAACCCAGGTTCATCAATACCTTAAGCCCAGTTAAAAGGAAGTGGAATTGGCTTAGTGAGTGTGTAGAATCTATTATTTCTAAATTAGAATTTGAAAATGACTGCTACTGAGAGGAAAACGATGACACGTGTTTACTAGTTATTTATTTTAAAATGTCCTTGTAGTCGGGCTTGAAATCCGCAGTAGTATAACATCAGTATCTCCACTCAGTGCCAACTTCCTCTCATCTCCGTATCAAGTGCTTTTTTTTTGGTGGGGGGGGGATGAACACGAGTAATTTAAATAATTTGGACACACAAACAAGACCTCTGTTGGAAATCAATTCAAAATGTCTTTCTGAAGCTGTTGAATAACGCCAACGTCTTGTAAATGTAACAAAGAGCGTTAATTCATCATCTTTTTAAGGACGCCTCGCTGTGTTTCTGCTCCCCCGCCGGCATTATGAGTAACTGTTAATTAGCATTACTGTTTTTTATCGCTTTGTTATTTTTTTGGTTTTGCTTTCTCTCTCAGAACGGTAGAATGTATTCTGATGCTGTGTATTTGTGTCATATTGGAAGGTGGTTTTATATTTGGATATTTTCACTCAGGCCTGTGAAATGTGACAACATACTGCAGAGGGTTTCAAAGTGGCTTTTTAGAGGGGGGGGTTATAGACAACTAAGTCGTTCGGATTTTATGTTCTATCTGTTTTTAATAAGCTTTAGACTCAGATCTCATCAGATACGCTATTCTACGCCAGCGGTTTGGTGATTTAGATCCAACATGGATTCCACGCCGTCTTGTCGCTGACACGTGGGCCTCGTTCACAGGCCTTTTTTCCCCCGCGGGCTCCCAACAGACCCGGCACAGAGAACAACAAGCAGCTCTGGCCAAACTAAGAGTTCTTCTCATCTTCCAATTAATGAATGAATCTCCCGGCTCCAGAGTGGCCCTCAGCGGTGCCCCGTGACGGCCCCTCTGCGGGCTGATCTGTGGCCCACCGGGAACCAGGAAGCGGGCCGCGTTAACGAGACCCTCGCTGTGTTTTTAACGCCGCGCTGCTTTTGTTTATCCGAGGACACTAGAAATGAGGAGTAGGGAGGTTTTTTAAAAGGGCCCCGCAACGAGGATTTGCATGTGCGCGTCCCCTGCGGGTGTGATGTATCTTATGTCCTTAGTTGTCCTCAAGCAATAAGACAGCACATGTAACATTGTGCGGTTAAAGGGACAGCCAGATTAGGTTCCATAAAACTGTAAAATGGCACAATAGTCGGTACGACCTATCCGTTAAACATATGTCTATTCAACATGTGGACATTACAAAGCGGCCATTGTAGAAGCATTGATGGGATTTGAACCACCAGGTGTGCAGAAGGAGAAGAAGCGGCGAGCGGCAGCAGTTAGACGAGCAGACGGCTGCAGCTCGCCGCTCATCCCCGCGAGCCGCTCGCTGATGTGAAAGAAGAACACTCTGCTACCACCACAGCACTTTGGTGTTAACGGGTGGTTTTCTTTTGTTTTCTTAAATGTCCCCGTGGTTTGACTCAGTCGAACGCCCACACGCTGAGCGCCAGAGAAGAGCGCGAGGAGTCGCCTTCTAGCGGAACGAAGGAGGCCGCGGGGGCCAATCATCAGCTCTAAACTCACTCGCTCTCCGTGATGTCACGGGTCTCTTAATGGGTTTTTCCCTGCGGGGATGGAAGGTGACGGTCAGTGTGGCCGCCGTGTTGGGGGGGAAACTAAGAAGTGTTTTTGCTTTTTTAATCATGTTATTGCCGTTAAATCTTTGTGTAAATGTACTACAAAGTACCTTTTGAATCGTTATGGAAATCATTATTAAAAACAATAACTGAGTCTTTGCTATCGATTTTAGTCATCATTTTAATTGAACATATATATATGATTTTTGTTTTTAAGTCACAAATACTACAATACAAACCTTGTCTGCTAAGATGCAATAGAGAACATGCACCCAGCACGAGTTAGAATCGTCTCGTTAGTTAAGAAGCTTGTATAGAAACTAAACCAATCTGTATATAAATACTTGTATGAAATATGGTTGTAGAATATTAATCAGCTAACTGCTACATTAATACTGCTGTTCAACATGTGTTATGGTTCAAATAAGCACTAAACCTACATGGAATTTCCCCAAAATTCACAACTCTGTTCTCTCTTGTGTTTTAAACTTCACATGAATGAAATAATACAGTAAAATAAGCTATTATAGAAAAAAGGCGTCGTAAATGGGGAAAAGATGTTCGCAGACATCCTGCAACACTGGTCCAGTCAGGGATACATGTCGTCTTTTCTCACAGCGTCATGAGTTGAACATCTTCCATATCATTGGTTATTTCATCCAGTATTTGGACAAAGTCCCATTTTTATCGCCCACACTTTGTGAACTCCACAGTGTGTGAGTCTCTGGCCCTTGTTGGACCCAGTCAGTGGAGGTGGTGGACCACACCTAGACATCTGCTGAAGGCTTCCTCCACCATTGTCTGCAGCGTTACCGTGGCGACTCGGCTAGGATTTAGCCTCAAAAAGACATGCGGTGGGTCAAAGAGGATGAAATGACCCCGCTATCTTTCATTCTCTTTCCCAATTATGTCATGGTCCCCCGACTTTACCCACTTTTATTTCCTCCCGTCACCATTCTTTTCTTCTTCTCCACCTCTCAGGGCAGAAAATGCTCTCTCCCAGATGAAATCACAAAATTATTGCAAATGAGGAGCTTTTCAAATAAATGGAAAAAATGAAACGACAGGACCACAATAAAAAGAGAACAGGTGAAAACTGCTTTGTGATTAGAATGGAGACAGTTTGGGCAGCACATGTAATATGTTCACAAACACATTCTACAGCTCTACCCGGGCATTGGAGGGTTTATTTTGAGAACGATCAATATTTTGATATTTTATACCAGACCCCCTACAACATCCCCTAATGTTCTTCTCTGCACCCACACAGTGTCCCGCGGCGAACAGTTTCTGTTAGTGTTATTTGTTCCTATGTAAATGGTGTGTCCCCTGCATATAAAAGGTTGGTGAGAAAGGGGTGTCATGGCTGCATGTGGTTAACAGGGAGACCATATGTATCTGCTGCGTGTGTGCACACCTAGCATGCGCGCGTGGGCATGTTCAGGACACAAGGCGGAGGAAAAGATTTCTCTCTGCACTGCACGCTTGTGTTGTGTGTAGGTGTCTGCGTGACGCTCAGGTAAGTGACCAGAGAGGACCATTTAAATGTGGAGGATTGTAACATTAACACTACGAGGTCTGTGTGGCCGTCCCCACTCTGTGATGGAGTGGCTCCACCCACGCCTCCGACGTAATGAAACGCTGCTTTAGCATTGTATTTCCCACCGATCAACGGGGGGCAGAAATAGCAAGACAGGTTGTCTCCCGTTATGTGGAACTGATGATTGAAAAGCTGCAGTCCTGTAGGAAGCCGTGGGAGGAGTCAAACAGCCTGTTTATATATCAACTAAAGACTATTTAGTCACAGATGTTCAACAGGTGTTTAACAGCTACATGCATGACGAGATGATGAGAAAGCGGTTTCATAAATTACTTTTATTTCATGTCTAAAGGGCTCCAATTGGCTGCTGCCGTTCCCAGGGAGGGCGTCTTGTATTTGCTAGAGAGGGAGGAACTGTGCGGAGAATACAAACAAGGAAAATATATATATATATATATTAAAAGACGTCACAGTGGGCTTTTTAAATTTTATATTCATAAAGGCACGAGTCAAACAGACTCTTTGCAGACTCTGTCACATAATGTCTCAGTATATGATGCAGATTCGGACCGTGTGTGTGTTGTGGAATATGTAATTATAAAGCACAAGTCGGAAGTAGGGAGAGAACAAGAGGAGGACGCGTGGTGCAGAGCGAGAGTCGGGAAGCCAAGCGAGCAGGGGACAAATAATGTGGGTGCCAATGTAGCAGAACTGAAAGTCACTTGAGTTTTAATTTCCTCCCAGTGGAAGCGAGAACAATATCAAGATTGAAACGCGAGTTTCAATGAGTCACTCTTAGAGGCAGCTCAGTGGGTTCAGCCTGTTAACATTCATAACACCACCCCTCCGTCTCCCTGCTCCTCTATCCTGCGTTACTGCACACAGACACACGCAGACACATCAACACAACGTGCACATGTGCACACAACGATGCACACACACACACACACACACACACACATTTCCACACAAATACAGTGTAATGGCACTAATGAGACTGCATGACTAATACCTCTTCAGTCCCTTCTTCAAATGAGTGCTTATTATGGTCTGTCAAGAAGATGAGTCAGCCCATGTCACAGTTACCATGGTGATCAAAGCCTCCAGCACTTTCCTTAAATGCCCGCTGGAGAAAATAAATAAAGCTCTTTAACTATAGACCTATCAGGATGCAGTCACCCACCCACACACACACACACACACACACACACACATGCAAACAGTCAAATTGACTGTAATCTCCCTCAGGTAACAAATGAAAGGAGAAATTCCTCAACAGGGATTATTAAAATGCCACAACATTATAAACAAGATTATTTAGAGGCACGTTACACACGAGCTAAACAGACAAGTTAAAAGACATTATGCTGGGAAACATGTCTGCATAGGACCATTTTACCACAGATGCCAGTCATTCCCAGACGGTACTCTCAAGCATATAAGAACACACATTAGTGTTACAATAGGGGGATAAAAAGATACATATAGTAAAGAATATGTGTTTAATATGTTTTTTAACAAATACATGTATGGTGTTACTTTCATTCATGTTCAGTTTTTGCTGAATATTCTTTTTAACAAAAAAAAAAGCAATACAAAAACGGCCTATTTTAAAACCATATTCGGATTAATTACGTGGGACGAGGTCACAGAAGCATCCCCTATTTTTTATTTCACATATTTTTCTATGTGTCATCGTATTTTTTGTTGGCTCCTTCTGGCGCCAAACGCAATCTGTTTTTTCCGTCTATTGCGCGTGCAAGGTTGTCATGTGACACGAAAAGCGAAACCATAAAGCGAAGAAAGAACAGACAAACAACAAGAGTTGCACCGACTCTTGGTTCCTTGTTGGTTTAAAATATATGTATCTCTGTATGGCGGACCAAACAAGTGATGAAGTCCCAATAAAGTACATGTATACGAGCACACGCGTGTATACATAGTACACATAAACATATGTGTTGGAAATACTCTTGATAATATCCAAAGGAGGCTACGTAAGGCGTGCTTTTGATTTGAACGAGCGGCTGTACCGCTAGCTGCGTGTGCGCAGAAACGTTGTGCGCAGGTACGTAACGTCTTTATCTTGACCAAAAAAGTTGAACTCTGCATCTTTGAAAAAAAAGTTCCAGTTTACAAACCGCTACCGAGCAGACGACTTGGGGGGGACAAAGGAGAAGTTAACGTGCTGAGAGGTGGGCTCGGTCAAACTTTAACTAGACGACGAACTAACAGCAGCTTTTTTTAATTTCCTTATTTTGGGGGCTGTTCGTCTGTGTGTGTGTGTGACGATGAGGCGGATTAGCGGTGTGCTAGTGTGCGCGCTCCTGCTTTGGGGTGAAGGGTGCATGGGGGACACTCCGGCCAACTGCACCTACGAGGACGTACTGGGGACTTGGGTGTTTCAGGTGTCCAAAGGAGGACAAGACGGCACCGTCAACTGCTCCGCAGAAGGTAAAGCGACCGCAACAACGTCAGTTTCGTAATTTAGCGATCATGTGACGTGTTTAATTTAAGGTCGCAGCTCGGACAGAAACTAAACCAAGCCGTTTCAATCATCACTTCCTGTTTTTGTCCCGTGTTGAAAATCAGTATTAAGTCAACTTTCTCTTCCGAAACAATGCTTTCTCACATGTATGAATCAAAAAACTGCATCTATTTAGACATTCCTGTTGTGATTGTCCTCCTCAGCTACAGGTGAGAGCACAGTCGTGGTGACCCTGGAGAAGCTTTCTGTGGCCAAAGATGAGCTCGGGCACAGCGGCTTCTTCACCCTCATCTACAACCAGGGCTTCGAAGTGGTCATCAACGGGTACAAATGGTTCGCCTTCTTCAAAGTATGACACACACACACACACACACACACACACACACACACACACACACACGATACGTGAAATGTCTTGGGTGGGCGAAAGGATTAATATCCTGTTCTTTTGTTTGAACGTGATTTATATGAGCGTTGTTAATCTTTGTCTTTTAAACATCTGCTCACAAACGTCATGTTCGACCTGCCGTTCAACACTCTCAGATATTAAAAAGATCATCACTTCATTTCCTCTCCGCTCGTCTGCTGATGCTATCTGGAAAACATGCATGTCTTCAGGTCCGATAGATCAGACTAACATTTGTGTGAAATGCACTATTTGCACGCAGCTTGATTTTAAGGTTAGTCTTTCAGTCACGCGTCCTTTGACTCACGGGACACCGAGATAAGGGAAGTGTCTTCAACCCCGTGATGTTAGAATATGTCCACGTCTACTTCAACTTCCTCAGCTGAATCAACTTCATTTTGCGATAAGAGATGTAGGGAGAGATTTTTTTTTTTCTTCAGATTTTGAACTTCCTGTAATTGTAAAAACCGTAAATGTCTGAACCCCAACACTGAACACTTTATCTTAATTCAATTGCTTTGATTGATCCTGACAGTTTGTATGTGCATACATGACTAAATTGTATTGGATCACAAGTTCTAATCTGCTTTTTGCCTCCACACTTTCAGTACACCGATGATGGCCATAAGGTGACCAGCCTCTGTGACCAGACCTTGCCCGGTTGGGCCCATGATGTTCTGGGACACAACTGGGCCTGTTTTGTGGGGAAGAAAGTGACATCGGTACCACCCAAAATACATTACAAACCCCTCTTCAGCAGCGGGTACGTACAGAGCGGCGCTTCGGTACACTGCTCGAAATGTAAAGTGGAAAAAACGCAAACAAGTGAGACATCAGCGGTACGCTGGGGGGGGTTTGCAGACTCTTAGTGCCGGCGGTGTGGATGATCACTGCTTTGTCTGTTCTGTGGAGTTTTGACATTTATCTAATCTACACTAATTTCCTCCCACGACCTCATCTGATATGCACCGCGTTGGCCTCATATCCTCTCAGTAATGTTGGCAAATGTCCTGATATCTGACATGTCGGACGTAGAAGCAAAATGTTGTAGGCAAACGAATGTCACGATAATAATTGATTTGATCGAGTGATTCACAAAGATACAGTTTAACGGTATTCAAGTTTATTGTAATTCTAAACCGAAAGATATATTTAAACAACCCGTGTTTATTCTCAACACCTCAACTGATATAATTTTATTGATAAGTGATTTTTTATTAATTGCTGTATCCACTGAAACTAAACTAAACATTTCTATTATAGATTTATTCACGATTTTTGTTTGATATTTCCCAAACACAACTGCATCATAGAAATAATTGTGCATCATCACAGTCAAAGTGTTTTAAAAAGAGACGAGCACAGATGATGGGATTAATCCGGAACGTTGACATTACCGTTTACGGATCGGGCGAACTTGAGTTTTGTCTTTGTCTCTGACGGCGACGCTTTGAAAGTCATTCCTCATTGTTTCTATTACGTGACCGAGGCCGTGCAAGCTAATAGTGCATGTTTATGTTTGAAGTCTTCATGGAAAAAGAGCCCTTTTTTTCAACACATCTTACAACTAATTGGGGGGGATCCATTACAAGAGTCCCATTTCTCGTGTGTGTGTGTGTGCGTGCGTTCGTGCGTGCGTTCGTGCGTGCGTGCGTGTGCCTCTTACTCAGGAATAGGGAATAAAATGCACACTCGTGTCCTCGTTCACTCTCCAGGCTCCTCCAGAAGCCGTACAAAAACAACATGGACTTTCTTGAGGCCATCAACTCTGTCCAGAAGTCGTGGACGGCCGCGGCCTACCCGGAGCATGAGATGTACACTCTGAAGGAGCTGCACCATCGAGCCGGGGGCCCCGGCTCCCGTAGCCCCGCGTGAGTATTTACTTATTCCCCATACTTTTCAATTCAAGCGGCTTTATTGGCACAACGCGTATCATGGTGTATTTTAACATGTCCAAATCAATGAAATACATTAAGAACATTGGGGTTCAGTACCCCACCCAATCACCCTTTTAGGCCCATGCTTCTCAATGTCATCGATTTGTCCGTTCTTTAGGCGCCTTCGCCCCGCGCCTGCGGACGCTGCCGAAGCAAAGATGGCGGCGGCGCTGCCCGAGCGCTGGGATTGGAGAGACGTCGGCGGAGTCAACTTCGTCAGCCCCGTGCGCAACCAAGGTGACATTTGCCTGCCGTCCTGCGGAATACTGTTTTCACTTTAATGTCAATGTTGAGTTATTTCCAGAGGCAACCACACAGAACCTCTCGCACACCTGATATTGTGAACATAAAGAATGTGATCGCGAGGCCCCGCAGGAGGAGGACTGTCTGTACGGGCAGCCCAGATGCTTCCCTCTCGGCGGGCCTCCGGTCTCCTTTTCCGCTCCCCGCCTGTGTTTCTGGCGTGTGAGTGGAGAGATTAAGCGCACCGAGTGGTTGGAGTGTCTGAGAGGGCCTCTGCAGGGCCGGGTTTAACGATCTGGAGAGGGCCGGAGAGTTTTTCAATAGAAGCCCCCTAAGCCTCTGTGCTGTGCTGCAGAGCTTATTTCGGCTTCAGTGTTCCCAGTGAGGGCGATTTTGCTTTTATTTAGCTTTTTTTTTTATTTTGGCTCCCAAAAAATGGGTGTGATAAAAGATAGATTTGTATACCTGCTTCTTAACATCTCATGAAGGGTTAACTTCTTAACCATCTGCTGGCACAGATCTTTTAATTTCATATTACCATATTATTCTTGGGAGACGTTAAGTTTTGGACCCAAATGTAAACGGTTCTGTCCCCCCGACTTGAACCAGGACTATTAAACCACCGTGCAAATCCCCTCAGCCGCTGTTCTCTGTCCTAATTTGATCCTGCGGCATTTTATTCACAACCTGAGTTATTGTCCCTGTGCCATGCTGCATTATTATGTATTACAAATAATGCAAATAAGTATACTGGGGCAGCAACTCTACTTATCCACTTCACATTAAATAAAGATTTATTGAACGTGTTTTGTATCCGGGGTGTAGAAGCAGATTACACATATCTGAAGATGGCTTTGCTTTATGAGTTGTTGGTTATTCTATAGTGGAGTTGCGGCATTGCATCCAATACTTTGTGCTCTTTATTTACATACACATGGGGACATTATGCTCTAATGGAGGAATGAAACCATTTTCCTGAAGTCCGGCTGCGTTGCACTGTGACTGAACTCCGATGTGTCTTTCAGCGTCGTGTGGGAGCTGCTACTCCTTTGCCTCGATGGGAATGTTGGAAGCTCGGCTTCGAATCCTCACCAACAACAGCCAGACTCCCGTCCTCAGCCCGCAACAAGTGGTCTCCTGTTCCGAGTACTCGCAAGGTGAACCAAGTCTCCAGCTGAAGTCTCGCGTCCAGACCGTATCAATCAGTCAATCAGGTTTTATTCATATTGTGATCGAAACAAGTAGCTTAAGTGTTTTTTTTCTGTTGTGGAAAGTGTATCAACTGCCCTGATTACTGCATTTTCACTCTTTATTTTGAAGAGCGTTAAAGAATTGATTTTTTTTCTTTCTATCTGACCGTCTTGATGAATCGGATTTAACCTTCGGCTCTCTCCCTCCTAAGGTTGCGATGGTGGGTTCCCGTACCTGATAGGGAAGTATATTCAGGATTTTGGCATTGTGGATGAGTCGTGCTTTCCGTACACGGCGAAGGACTCTCCGTGCGGCGTTCCTCAAAACTGCCGCCGCATTTACGCCGGGGACTACTACTACGTCGGTGGATTCTACGGCGGCTGCAGTGAGATGGCCATGATGTTGGAGCTGGTCAACAATGGACCCGTTGGAGTGGCTTTTGAGGTAAAACTGATGCTCACTGTTTCCTACTTGGGATTTCTATTCTGTTCTGTTTGGTTTTTGCTCTCTCGATGCAGCTTGGAGTTTGAGTTGAGTTCAACCTGTTGAATCCTTCCCGTATTTTAGCCCAAACACACCTGCTGGTTCTTACCAAAATCCACTTTATCCAAGTTCTGTTTTGAATTTTGGGAGAGATTGTAACTGGAAGAGCATGTTTTCATGTTTCAAGTATCTTAAGCCACAGGTGTCAAACTCAAGGGCCGAATCCCGCTGGATGACTTTGCTATTGTTAGAATTACAGAAAGACATAAATTGCATTTCAGTAAAAGCAGCTGCTATTCCTTAAAAGTCCACTGGGGGTCGCACTCTGTGAGTGAGCGCACGCGTTTGACCAGGAGGACCAGGTCGTTCCCCAACGCAGAGCCGGTAGATCGCCTGCCATTGGGGTGGAGGGGGAGGAAATCACGCCAGGCCCCCCACGCGCCCACCCTCCGTCGACCGGACCATCCGCGCCAAACGTACCCCCCCGTCGACCGGACCATCCGTGGCACCCCCCCCCCCCTATGATTTTTAGGATCTAACCCACTTGAGATAAAAGTGGTCAGTATCTGGCCCAAACCTAAAATGAGTTTGACACCCCGGGTATAAGCGGTCTGCTGGTCCGGGGGTCATTTTGGCTATAAAATAATGGTTAATTCATTCATCAGAACTTTGCGCGCATTCTGTAGTTTCATTAATCTTAATCATTTCACTAATGGTGGTAATAATAATAATAATCCCCCTATATGTAATAATGTCAACAACTCAACATAAGATGTTTTTTTCTAGAAGTATAGGATTCATTTGTCCTGTTAACCCTAAAGCACGGCTAAGCTAGCAAAATGCTAATGGACCGTTATCCATCCATCTATTGTCAAACCGCTTATCCTGCACACAGGGTCGCGGGGGGGCTGGAGTCCATCCCAGCCAACTTGGGGCGATAGACAGGGTATATCCTGGATTGGTCGCCAGCCAATTGCAGGGCTACACAGAGACATACAACCAATCACACTCACATTCATACACCTACGAGTCCCCAATCAACCCGATCCCCAGAGCATGTCTTTGGACTGTGGGAGGAAGCCGGAGAACCCAGAGAGAACCCACGCAGACACGGGGAGAACATGGAGACTCCACACAGAAAGGCCTCTGGACGGAGTGGAACCCAGGACCTTCTTGCTGTGAGGCGACTGTGCTAACCACCACGCCACCGTGCCGCCCTAACGGACCATTATGTCCCCTTAATTTCTATTTGTTTGTAAATGTAACATTTTTTTTTCTCCCTCCTGAAATGCATTTTGAAATTTTCCTTCTCCAACTCTGCCCCCTCCTGCTTCACGGGTACAGCTTGGATTTGACACAGAAAAATTGAAATAAAATCATCCCTGTCCTTCGCCAGGTCTACCCCGACTTCATGCACTACAAGGAGGGCATCTACCACCACACGGGCCTCAGAGACCCCTTCAACCCCTTCGAGCTGACCAACCACGCCGTGCTGTTGGTGGGCTACGGCCGCTGCCACAAGACCGGGCAGAAGTACTGGACCGTCAAGAACAGCTGGGGCACGGGCTGGGGCGAGGGCGGCTACTTCCGCATCCGCAGGGGCAGCGACGAGTGTTCCATCGAGAGCATCGCGGTCGCCGCCAACCCGATCCCCCGACTGTAGGGACCCCTGCGGCGTCGCTTTGTTTCCAACCTCATCGATCAACCAATAGCTGACTATGAATGATTTTTGAATCTGAGCTGAAGCTGCCGAATCAAGTTTTAAAATCCAAGTGCGTCTGTGCACGATGTGCCATGTCATCACTTTAAGGGGATCCGGGTGCTGCGCTGTGATTCTTTGTCTCAGGGAAGCAACAGGGAAGAGTTGTAAAATGTTCTCTCCCTGCAAAGTGAAACCGTGACTGCCATGTTTTTCTGTAAAGGCACTTTGTATGAGCTCCCCGGGGAGCTTTTAAAGGGAATTCTTACTTAAATAAATAAAGGGACATAACTATTTGTAGCGCCTTCTTATTGTGAGCGATTATTGTTGCAATGTGTGAAGATGGAACATGAGTCTAAATACATTTTTCTCTTGGAGCTGAGTATTACTTATTTTTTTCACTCTACTCAAACAACAACAGCAGCATAAATTTGCCTTTGTGGCTCAGTAATAAATCTCTGTTTAGGCAACAAACAAAGAAAAAGGAAAGTAAAGGAAAACTGCTCTTCGCTGCTTTAAGTCACCGGTTCAACTCTCTTCATTTAATGTTCTAAATCGCAGTATTATGAAATAAGTACGTTTAGTGAAAATAACTTCACATCTTTGAAGCCCACTTGAGTGTTTCCATTTCATGCTGCTATTTTACTTAAGTCGTGAAAAAAAAGTTGCTTACTTAACACAAAGAGTCCACATCCCTTCCGGCTTGGATGTTTCAATCCACCGCAGATCACCCGCGTGCGTCACAAGGTCCAGACGTCTCCGCTCCGCTTCCCTCTCCGGACCAGGGCGTACCTCCCCCCCCTCCCCCTCCCTGCCCCTCTCCCAACTCTCTTCTGTCCCGTCTGCGCTGTCCTGTGCCCCCCCGGACCTCTCCACTGCGCTGGATTCATGCTCCGCTCTCGCCTTCCTCGGTCGCCATGCAGAACAACCACAGCAAGGAGCATCTCTACAAGATCCTCGTGATCGGGGACCTCGGGGTCGGTAAGACCAGCATCATCAAGCGGTATGTCCACCACAACTTCAGCCCCAACTACCGAGCCACCATCGGGGTGGACTTCGCCCTGAAAGTCCTCAACTGGGACCAGGAGACGGTGCGCCTTCAGCTGTGGGACATCGCAGGTACGGTCACCGCTCAATGAGCCTTTATTGTTGGGTAATGTGCTTTCACTTTGGGCTGTGTTTGTGATATGGATGAAAATTGAATGCACTTTGGGATATTATATTGGCAGTTTAATATCCGCCCCCCGTGCGGGGTTAAATTGTATATTAGGGCAAATTAGCACACGGTTACATTTAGAAATTCCTTGTAATAACCTTTAATGAATATGCTTAGCAATTACATAAAGTGGTGGTTATGATGAAAGTCACCGTTTACATGCTCAATGCCTATTTAGGTAAAAGACAACATTTTCCAAATCAGAGGTCAGCTGGAATTCAACAAGTTGCTTTCAGCTTGGAGGGTTTGGAAACTATACATCTATCTTTGAAAGAAAATGTGTTTTTTTTAGATATACAATCAGATTAGAGGTTAGTGATTCTAATACAACCAGGGAACGAGCGTGAGACTTGGATGGCAGCGTTATCAGGGTTAATATTCCTCATGTGTACCAGCTGACCAGTAGGTATTACTCACTCGAAATCACCAGGCATTTATATTTCTGCATTTACACGCACACACACACACACACCTACAAATCCAACTACGACACCTTGTATGTGTATCATACGGTATTACAATATTTGAGATCTTCAATGAATAAAAAGGTAAAGCTGTTTTATTCTATATGTTGTGTAAATATTTGTATTTGTATATATTTTTTATACCTTTCACACATATTTTGGGGCTTAGATGTAACTGGTCCACTCGGACCGGGAGAGCAGAGCAGTACTTTACAATAAAGTACAGAATAGAACCCAGACCCAACGATTAACAAAGCTAAAGGCTGCGCTGGTTTCATCTCACATGAGTGTCGGCTGAGGTTTAGAGGAATCCTCTGACCTGCTGCTCCCTCCCCTCCTGTGCGCCCTCTCCAGTAAGCGCAAGCAGTCATGTGTCTCAAACTCATGTGAGGGAGATTTGAGGCCCGAGCTCTCGTATACAGAAAGCTTGTATTGTGAACCGAGGGAGGAGCGTCTCCCTCCGTGCAAACGGCTGCGGTTCGGTGCTGTAGATGTATGTGTGTGTGCTCCTACACTCACCCCAAAGTGATAGAAGCCGTGAGGCCGGAAGGCCTGAATTGTTCACCTTAGTTCTGCATTGTTTGAATGACCTAGATCCACTGGTTTGTTTGGGGGTTTGATAATACACGGACGTTTTTTAGATGCAATGAATATTCTGCATTTCCCAACACAATCATAGCATCAACTCTTGTATTATTTTGACTGCCCTCTTTCTATGTCCACGGCTCACAGGGTGGCGTGGCAAGTTGCACGGGTAGCATTAAAGATGGGATGCCGTTACGGGGCTTTACATACTTTTCACCCTTTTTAAAATTCCCATCGATGTACATGTTGAGGTATAGGAGTCCATGGCTGCAGAAGGCATGAAGACATCGACACTCAGCTCACCTTGAAGGCCTTGAAGAGCTACCCCTTCATTTTAATGGTACAGAGAAATAATGTTTTCACCCAGCACACCTGAATTGGCTTACACAGAAAACCGGAAATCCCTTTTCATCCAATACAAGGTTCTGCCCTTCTGATATTTCCGATGTCCCAGTAGCGTGGAAATGAATTTCAACCCCTCTCTTCTTCACGACGATGCAAACGGCTTCGAGAAGGATCTGCTGCGCTTGTAGGTTCAGTCCACAGTGTGAAGATATCTCGTACTCTAACAATCGTCATGGATGGGAACAATCTGTGTGGATACAACATTCCTACAGAGCTTATCGAATTAATTTGACCCGTAGGAATTTCTACAGTTCACAGGCAAGCGCTCGCACACACACATTGACACCAAAGACTCTTCCTCCCCATCGTGCCTCTACCCGTGTCTCCATCTCATCGCTCTCTTTCCGGAGCACTTTTAAAAGCTTGCGTGTGGGTTTGTGTTACGGGAATGAGACAGAAGTGTGATGAAATTAGTTAATCGGATGATTCGTGTCTCTGTCTGCTGCCGTTGTCACACAGCATCACTTACATCACTTACTTTCTTGTAAGCCAGCATGTGACGCGTCTTCCTCTAAAGGGGTGCAAAGTAAAAAGGTGAAACCGGTACCAAAACGATACTTATTTTCTTTGTTTATACGCGTGTGTGTGTGTCCTTTAGGTCAGGAGAGGTTTGGCAACATGACGCGCGTGTACTACCGCGAGGCCATGGGCGCCTTCATTGTGTTTGACGTCACAAGGCCCGCCTCCTTTGAGGCCATCACCAAATGGAAGGAGGACTTGGATTCCAAACTGACACTTGCCAACGGGAAACATGTAGCCACTGTGCTTTTGGCCAATAAATGCGACCAGGGCCGGGACGTGCTGACCAATAACGGAATAAAGATGGACCAGTTCTGCCAGGAGAACGGCTTCGTGGGATGGTACGAGACGTCCGCTAAGGTGAGGAAGGAGGGGCACACGCGTAAATCCAAAGTGCGGTGATGGATCCGTGGTGCTGTGGATGGATGGATGGATGGATGGATGGATGGATGGATGGATGGATGGATGGATGGAGGGGCTCTAAACAGAAGCGCTTAGGCTCAAGCAGGCGCGTCCTTCCTGTTCAAATGTCCTCGAGAAGCATCTGACTCCCAACCAGCTGGAGTGCGTCAGACAGCAGCTGATCAGCCGGTGGAGAGGCGCACTCAGGATGGGGAGCAAAGACTGCAAATGGGGGGAAACAGGAAGCGTAAAGGTTAAAAAGAAAATCAGTTTGAACTTGAATACATTTAAGTACAGTATTATTTAGCACTTATTAATGCGGAGAGGAATGAATGAATGCATGTGATGAGTGAGTACTGATTGTAGGAGGAGTTGAGGATTCACACAATAAGCCACCGAGACCGAAACACAAGCTCCGATAGCAACTAGTGTACATAAGTGCAACTAACTGAAAATAGAAAGTATTTAGAGAGGTGCTCTAAATGTAAATCCATTCAGGTTGTACCTCCATACGTCCTCCAGGCAATTTCTTCAATGTCCTCCTGCACTCAAAGTTAACCATAAATATAAATAGCAGTAGATCGGAATATTTAGCGACATGCATCTTGATGCCTCGTGTGTAATTTCCCTGAGAAAGTTTACAATTTCCCCTTTTAAGCTGACTTAGGCTGGAATGTGTAATACATGCGACTGGTATCTGATCGCCTGCCAGAATAATAATTATTTATAACGGTTAACTTCGCCAACGCAGCACATGTTCTGCATACAAAACCTTGTAGAAAGGCAAAGTTGGCAGAGAAGGTGTTTTTATTGTGTTATATTTTGTTTTGGAAGAATCTTTTGTAGCGGATCTAACAGTAAGTATGACACAGGGAGCGGCTGCAGACTGGAGGAGGTCACATGCTACTGATCATTCATTAAGACAGTTTGTGTGTGTGTGTGTGTGTGTGTGTGTGTGTGTGTGTGTGTGTGTGTGTGTGTGTGTAACCTAACCGTAACACCCAGGGCAACATCTCAGCCCAAAAAAGCGCTATTGTGGGAGCTGTCGAGAACGAACATTTTGCATTGTTTTTTTCTTTAATCATAAACAAGCATCCTGGTAGTCATATTGTATTAAGCACACCATAGAATGGCCCCCTTTTCTAGATACACACTGCTTTCTGTCTGTATCCAATTAGGCAAAATTCATAGTGGCATAGTGAAAATTAACACACATAAAAAGGCAGTGCAAAAAATTGCAGTGTGTAAAGTTGCAACAAATTCAAATTTAAAATATGGAGCAGTTCAAACTTTCACTTTGTCGAGTTAACGTTTGATGTTAAACCTACTCCTTCACATTCTTCACCACCTGAAGGCACAAAGATGCTCTGCGTAGGCACACATCAGAAATACTAACTATTTATGGTTCCTTAATGTCATTCATTTTTTGTCAAAGCTATTGTTGCTGAGATTCAACTCACTGTGCTTGTAATGAGGGAGGACGTTGTATTGTAATCCATCACTGTCTGAACTACAGAGACCAGTGTCTGCAGCTGGGAAGATATTTATGTAGAAGTACCTCCCCACAACACCCTCTGCATCATCCGTCAGTCATGGTTCATTCTCCATTTGTGGCACTTGTTTTAATCCTTTGATTAAGCCTCCTCCTCTCTTCATCGACACTTTCCTACTCTCATCCCTCCTTCTATATGTTCCTCCTACCTTTTCCTCTCGTTCAGGAAAACATCAACATCGATGAAGCGGCTAACTGCTTGGTGAAGCACATCATTGCCAGTGAGAACGACATGCTCCAATCAGAAGTGCCGGACACCATCACCCCCCAGCTGGAGAAGGACAAAGGCGGGACATGCTCCTCCTGCTTCAGGTCCCAGTAACGGCCCTCGTCAGCCGGATGTCCTTTTATATCAGTTTGTCTGTGTGCAGGAGACTGAGAGAGAACCACTTTGGCGTTTTTTTTTTTTAGGAAGCATTTACTGGTGCAAACTCTTCCCCTGTCAGGTAGCCAGTATTCGGGGTTGTGGGGAGGAGGGATGGGGGGGCTTAGAGGATGACTGACAGGCAGCTGGCTCAAGAAAGGCAGAAAGAGAGAATTAGAGATGAATGCAGCTGCGTGCGCTTGTCAAAGGCAAGGTTGCCCTCTGGACCATTGCCACTTCGGTTACCATGGAGACTAAATTAATGAACACATGCACAAAAAGAAAATCACGGTGTATCTTTACAAGGGTACAACATGCCTATTTGACATCTCTCCCTGCTTTTCTCTTCCCATTCTGTCAGAGTTTGTCCTGTTTCTTTCTTCTCATCCCTCTCTGACAGCGTTTGTTCTTAGTTTTTCATTCATTTTCAGTCATTCGGGTTGAACAAACAGGTGGAGAGCACATGTACTGAAAGCAATTCAATCTCAGTCCCGATAACACTACAGCTACTATTATTCGCTATTGTTTTGTCAGATTTTTTCATGGTAATGTCCTTCCTCGTCTTACCTCGTCTGCCAGCTCAATAATGGCCAACAGATTATATTGATAATTAAAGTGCCTTTTCTAAACCATTTTATTTACTGTCCTCAATAGATGTATTCACCACATATTGTATTTATAAGTGCACTTGAAGGTTTTTAGAATGACCTTACTTTTCATCCCAAAAGTAGGCTTCTACTCATTTCCATGGTAACGCATTTAAAATACCATGACAAACCATTTATGTTTCAAGGAATTACTCCCCAATGCAACACTAACGTGTATTGTTCCATTAAATGGTTGTATATTAAACCTGAATTCTGAATATTTGTAACATTTGTAATAATGGATTAAATGCATTTCTATATGAATGTATACAAACATGTACATATTATATAAAAATATAACCAGCATCCAGTCGTCAACATGAATAAACCATAGCTTTACTATCCTATATCTGAATGTGATTTTATGTTAGTAACTGCACCCTAAGGTGTTTTCAATCACGGGGGGGCTGATTAGACCCACTATGGTAAAGTGTGTGAGCAGTCCGGCCCCGACGCGTCCCGATGAGAGCTCCAATCAGGCATCTGAAGGGAGACATTTTAGCATCAGTGTCCTTTTAATGAAGTTGGGTGACTTAACAAACATACACACACACAAAAGTATTTACGTTGTTTTAAAGAAAGGTCCCTCCACTTTCCTTTTTTGGAGCAATGAAAATCCTCACATCTCTGGGCAGTCAGTGTGTCTTGGAGTTGTGACCGGACCACAATTGATTATCCCCCTTTGTTAATTTTTTGCTTGAGCTGTTACAAAGAATAAACATGCCACAAAATGTTTTTTTTGTTTCAAGATTATTTCAAAGTTTTGCCATCAGGTGCTCCTCACTCAGCTCAGATGACCTTTGAACTTGTACTTCACTGACACACCATCCCCCCAAAACCCTTTACTCTTTCAGTCAGGTAATGTGCAATCATTGCTGGATTTGCATGATAAATGGTGTGCATTATGTTTAAAGGTGGTTGGACGAACATAAAACATACCTTTTTACAGATCTAATGCTAAAACGTCGCCTTGGTGACTGTCCTCTGACTTGTTATGTGACGGAGCACCGTCTTCATTCTGTATCTGAAAACACACTTTAAAGGGTTGAGTTTTGATGGACTCCACCTATAAAAAAAATAGGTAAACCTTTCCCACTGTTTTCCAATTGTTAGCTAATTCCAGTGATTTCCAATGTTAATAAAAGGTAATTACACGAACGGACGAACCCATTGTGAGGCCCAACTATTTTGATCTACTTTTTTTTAACCCAGTCAAATTCGATCGATTGCCAAAACGTTATTGTCCCGTTTCTAAACCTTCTAAACTCTGCTGACAGACCCTAATCTCTAATTAACGTCCTTTATAGATAACATTTTGTGCCTCGTTTAACACTGCGGGTTCTTTTTATCCCAGTGAGACAAAGACACAATCTACTGTTTACCAGAGTGTCTGTCGGATGTCGGTTCTGAACTGAGGGCAGCCGCTGCAGAAAGAGACAGTGCTGCTCTCTAATTAGTAATAATTGGATCTGATTCTCAGCAATGATGTAACAATTTGTTTTGAGAAAACACAGGGCAGAGAGAGCAGGCAGAGCAGTTATGAGGGAATTTTCCTCTGTTGTGTGTCAGAAGCCCACCCCCTTCTCTGTACTCCACACCACAGACACACACACACACGCACACACACACACACACACACACACACACACACACACACACACACACAAATGATCAGAAGATTTCACAGATTTATCGCTCGCTCTCTGGTCTCTAAGGCAACAAGCTGCCGAGAGAGTGATACTGCCCTTTTTCTTTCTCCACTTACTGGCCTTGTCCTTGTTGTTCTTTTCCAATGTAGCAAAGGGGTAAAGGCAACAAGGAGAGAGGTAAAGGAACCATGGCTAGGCACTACAATCACAAGACTTCTCAGTCACACAGGATAAAGAGAAAATAAGCTGCACGTGATTTCAGAAGGACTTACAAGGCTTTCCCTGTCCTTCTCTCACACTCACACACATATTTTAAACCACCATACAAACAGCCTTACCTGTGAGTGCTGTTGCCGTTCTTGTTGCTGTAAATTGTATCATGTGTGTAATGGGGGTTTGCAAAGATTTCTTTAGATGAACAAGCATTGAAAGAAGAACATTCGACATCCGCTGTAATTTCTCATTGAGACAATGAACATGAAGGGCATTGTCTTTGCGCCATTGAAAAATAAACATGAATAATGAAAGGTCATGAGCGTGGCAATAAAAGCGCCACCCCGTGAAAATGCGGGCACTGAGTGCAATCGCGCTGCCGCTACATGGTCGATAAACAGGGAGAGTGGAGTTGGAAGCGGAGGCTGTGGCAGGGATGCTCTGGCTGTGAATTAAACACCCGGTAAAATGGAATCGATGGCAGGAGCCAGAGGAGACTCCGGATGAATGAAAAATAGCGGCGGCACCTCCAACTTTGATCGATAAGTGTGAGGATTCGTCTGTGTGTGTGTGTGTATATGTATATGTGTGTGTGTGCGTGACCACGTTTCAGTCTCGTCTATAGTTTTTAAATGGAGGGCCATGGGGAATATCAGAGGCCTGCTTGGGATGACTCATCATTCACAGCAAGATCGGCCGGAGAGAGAATCCAATTCACACACACACACACACACACACACACACACACACACACACACACACACACACACACACACACACACACACACACACACACACACACACTCAATGTAAACAAGTAATCCTTCCCATTTTAGAAAGTTATAGTTTGTAAACTCTAACCCGGCATTTGATTTGATGTTTAAAGCAATTTAATAAGCTCACCCGTCAGTCAACTCAATCCCTTGTATGGCTCCGATCATCATCTTGGAGGTTGCTCTTTTTGTCTCACGGACATTATTTCAGGTTTATCGTTTTTTATCTTGTGTCTTTTCAACCATAAGATTAGACGTATAACTAAAAGTACTAGGAGCTGGGAGAAAAAGCACAACTCTGACAGCGTGGGAAGGTTGTTTTGACAGCAAATCTCTGCCCAACAATCACTGCTGAGAGACTTCTAAAGAACACAAGTCTCCGTCTAAGCTCCCTGTAGATGTGCTCGGCACTAAAAGAGCCAAAGAACACATTTCTCTTTGTGGAGTAACATCTCAATCTTGTGAGATGCTACTGCACAAAGGTGTAGATTGAGAACAACACCGGCGGCGTGCTGAAATGTCTTCCTTGTACACATGTTGACGTTGTTGTTGTGTAGTTGACTACATTGTTGCAGCCACACCGGGATTAAGCTTTCATTTAGTTGTTTTTTGCAACACTGTATTTATTGCAGATGAGATGTTGTGTACTTGAACTTTCACCTGATTCAAATTACTGTCAGACCAAAGAAAACATCCTCTGAGCACATTTCTGAACCATTTAGAGAAAATCCAGCTCTTACATCTCAATGGCCGTCCCACGGGGCGAGATCTACCTCTACGTGGTTGGGACACATTATCAAAGCCGAGCGAGATGAATGCCATCATTGATCGTTATAAAGACTAAAACACCCCTGAAGATCTTAGTGGACTGTTAACAGTTTCCCTTTCAAGCCATTGTAAAGTTCGAATTGTGTTCAGATACAATTTGAATTAAAATGTTCCAATTTTTGGGACGTTTATTGATTCCCAAAACAGCAGGTTGTTGCATGCTGAAATATATACAAACAACAAATACTGATTTACCGACTCCTCGCAGACCGCTGAGTACGAACCTCAATCACTGTCTGGTCGGAAAGCTTTTCTTGTCCCCCAAGTTGCAAACCCGGTGTGTTATTGAAGCCCTCACACTGACCACCAGTGACTGACGGAGGCTGCTTTTGTTTGCAGACGCTCTCTGTGTATGAGCCAACACAGCGGCTGTGTGATTAGTTCTATCAACACACAACACGCAGTGCGGAAAACTGACTGTACTCTACGACTATGTAGTTTTCATAGTCTTCCATGCATGTTAGGAAGAATGGGACCTTCGAGTGCTTACAGTCTTGAGTATAAGCGACCTCTTTTAGGGTGTTTCTCTTGTGCTTCATACAGAAGATGTGAGGAAAAATAAAACAATATATGCAAGGCCATTTGTTTTCATTCAAAGGTGCATCTAGCGCAGGGGTGACATGTGTGCAATATGTTGTATTTCGTGGGGTAATAACAATTCTCAATTAATTTCAGAAATGTTAAGTAATAGAATGATTTATTCTAGAATACAGCTCACATGCTGAGAACATTTGAAGAGGCAATAGTGATGTGATAAATAAGTGCATTATGTCTTCATGTCTCCTCTGAGGGTCATGTTGTGCGTCTGCTTGGTTTAGCACATTTTACTGCAGCTCTGCCTGTGACGGGATCAGAACCTTGGACAGCGAGTGCGACACACACGACTGTGCAGGATGCAGACAAAGGGGCCTGTGGACTTTTCTTGTGTTTACCTTATTGTCCCTTTTTAATTGCTGTTTTTCATGCGCTGATTATTTTGCACCATGATGCCACACGTCCTCCGCATAAACAATAGGGCCTTATTTGTGTCACATTAGCATACAATTACACACAACATGTCCAATTCGCTACAAAATGACCCTTCCGCGGTGGCAAAAGGAAATAAGAGATGTCACCGTAATTTATGTCTGTAGGGATTTAATGGTTTTCACTTCATTACAAGTGTCTCTTTGCTCATGAAGTTTGTTTGCTTCTGCGTCGTGTTTGTCCTTGAGATTATGTTGGTCCACTGCATGTGTGTGTGGCTGTGTGGCGGCGGCAGCATGTTTGTTGGCTCTCTTTGCCTTGGCAGGGAAAAGGCTAGGTGGGATATTGGTCAGCAATGGCCTTCCTCTCTGCGCCAACTGTCTCTCCTCTAGTGGATGTGTACAGAGCACCGTGTGTACATATGTTAATGTGACCTTGTGCTGAGAGTGACGTGTCCTGTGTGTCAATGAGTGTGTGCTTTTTGTTTTTTGCCACACATTAAAAATATGTGTGTGGAGTTGTGCTCTTGAGTCACTTTGGGTGCGGTTCTCTCATGAAGCTAGTAGTGCAAAACGACAGAAATACTCCTGCATCATCCAGGATCCATCATTGTGGAGACATAAGGGTGGAGACGGAGTCTAAGGAAGCATGGAGGTTGACGTGTCCGTAGGTAGAATAGATGATGGATGGATGAAGAGATGGAGGCGGGCGGATGAGACGCAAGTTGCCAGGCAGCATGGGAGTTTGAGGGCATGTTCAAGAGTTGTGTCTACAAGCGGATGTGCACCTGTTTGTGTGTACGTGTGCCTCCTCTCTATGTGGGCGAGCGAGCATGGGACCGAGTGATTGCTCACAGTGAGGCAGTTGTCATGGCAACAGAGGATGTCGTTTTGCTCCGTAAGATCTCGGCTGTCCCAGAATCCTACAGACCTTTCTCTCTCCTCGTCTGCCAGTTTCTCCTGTTCGCACGGCCTGCTTTGTCCTCGTACCCCAAACACTCACTCCTCTTACTGCCTCCCTCCTCCTCTCGTATTGCCCCCCTTTTCTCCCCTGACATACTCCAGTTCCCACTGACTCTATCTCTTGCTCCTCTTCCCTGCATTTTCCAATCCCCCTCTTCTTCCTATCTCACTCCTCCTCTCCTCCGTGGCTGTAACAGATATAAATAGAAGTAATAAATTGCAGTGAGACTGCAAGGGTGTATATTTTTGTGCGTGCTTGGATTTTTGGGCTAATAACTGGCGGGATATCCCTACATATAGGGAGATGTAATTCACCAAACCTCCCCAGCCTGTCTCTGCCTTAC